TTCTGTCTATTTGGTTCTTTAAAATATGACTTTCCTATTACCTGTACTTTTCACATGAGCCAAAATGATGGAGTCCAAAGTAGGAATGCAAGGCATTGAGTGATTAATTAATCTGCAGTTGATTGGTCTTATTAATAGACTAATGATTAATTGATAAGCAGCCATTTTCTTAAAAACCTGAGTTTTCTCTTGTGTTTCAAGAAGATCTTTCCATAGAACAAAGTGGCTGAATATTTTTTCCAATATTCTGAATTTTAAAAAAAGTACGTCATTATATTTTTAAAATGATTAGTGCTAACGGTATTTAATATTGACTAAACAGATAAGTGTTTTCTTATATTAAACGGAAATGATATAACATTGAAATATTTTAAACACTTATGATTTCCAATGTAAGGAGATGTAAAGCTATCATAAATGACAGGGTGTGTCGCTCTGATATACTGTCAGACTATTTGCCACTTCATTTTAATAAAGTGGATGCTACTGTAACTGTTATTATTGTATTCTGGACATTGTGCTGTTTGCAACTCTTTAAACGAGGAGTCTAGTTGCTCTCAGAGGAATGTTAAAACTTGGCACTATTAATTACAGTGACTCATAAAAGCCTTCCCCGTGTAACGGGCTTATTGCCAGCATGTGCTTTTCTATCAGGTTAGAAACATTTTTGTATAATGTCTTCTACTTTTCTATTATCACATCCTCACCTCTAGAGCAAATTGGAAGAGTTAAGGGCTGTGTATACTCCCGCAGCACTGTGTCGCAGGTATGACGCAGATATTTTTGATTTATCCCCAATTTTGAAGGGTGGTCTGCGCTATGTTATTCCACGCCACAACGCAAGAGGCTCAATCACGAACTATCAAGGATTGTGGGTGTCCATGTGTCGGTTAGACAAGCTTATTTGCCGTCTACAACCCACAGAAACACACAGTTCACCCATTTTCAGAATGACTGGCCGTAGCACTGCATGTTTTGGCTTCGGGTGCAAACCAACAGACCGTCACACAGAGCTACAAACTAGTATGCTGTACTGTGTCTGGGATAGTGCCCGAGGTGTGCCAGGCATTGCGGATGGCACTACAGCCAGAGTTTCTGCCATTAGGTACCAAACGGGAAACAGCATAGTGTAGAGTGGATGTAGAATTGACCAATCAGAGGCCTGCTTTCTCTCCTCTCTGCGACGCTATCTGCGGCACTCTCTGTCTGCGGAAAGGGCGGGGGCATATCTGCGTTAACTGCGACACACACGCAGACGACCTGGTTTCTGAGCATAAACCAGGCTTTAGGCTGCTTCACCATGCAGCATGGCTAAATGGGCACTATTTAGGTGAGAACTTAAGAAGAATAAGTGTTTATATTTACAAACAGAACTGCATAAAGTGAATTCTGCATCCTTGTCATCATTAAACATAGCAAATGATCCCGTATGAGACTATGGGAGAATTTTTGGCTCTAGCAGACCTCCGCTCTGGCTTTACTTCTCTTGCAAATACCAGTAAGACTCAGATTAAGAATGAACAACAGTGCCTTCTAGTGGACGGCAGTAATTACAACATTGTAAGGCAACAACTTATTAATAAATCAGATGGCACAGATTGAAATCTAATAAAACATTCATCAATAAATAATTTCTATTTGATTATTTGTTAACATTCCTAGTTCTGTGTGATTATTGCCATGTTAGCATTTTCTCCCACATGAGTAGTTGGTGTCTGAAGCTCCTCCAGCGTCACTGTGGCTAAAGTATGAATATTTTAGCAGGGCATTTTATAATGGAAGTCAATAACTTTTATATTATTAGGCCAGGAACTAAGAAAGGACTGCATTTAGAGAAAAAGACAACAGGATTATGTTTGATTTAAAGTCCACATGTCCAAATATTTGACTATAGATGTGTTGAATATTATCACAGAATGTTAGTCGTGCAAATAAAGTAAGGCAGTCTTGTGAAAACAATGCTTGACGTATTAAACTGTTGTGTGGGAAGGTTTATTTTGACTATGTTGTCTGTGTGCGACGCCTTTGCTCTACTACCAGAGCTACGTGTCTCTTGGATAATCTTGGTCGTATCTATAAGTGGCATTGGAGCAGAATGAGCTGCTTAGCATCTGTCAAACCAAATAACCTCTTTTACCTTCTTCCCACCTACTGAGGTGGCAGCAGTGAGGTTGTAAAGGGATGAAGAAGTAATTTAAGAGTAATGAGTAAACTGCAACCATACTGGGTCTTTGAAGACATAAATCAGTGGGATCTCTTTCTTTTATTCTCTTCTGCATTCTTTCTTCCATTGTTTCTACATGTCAAGAAGCCATCTGGCGGCGTTCTTATTAGCTCCATCTCTCCCTAATGCACCACCTGGTTATTTACAGCAGCTTTCTTTTTCATAGAGTCTCCTGGAAAATCTCTTTCTTTCATTTCCTTTACTTCTTTTAGATATGAGCTTGTTTATAAGATTCCTTGTTTGTTGGACTTTATCTTCTTTGCTATTTTCTTTTGGCAAAGCAACAAAGACTTTTGCATGTGTTGCTCTACCTTGCAGCAATTCGTGCATCCTGTAGAATGCTTGTTGTAATGCCAGCTGACCCGAGAATGACCAGAGGGAGTAAACCAACTTCCATATTGGTCAAGGTCTGCTTGTCCTCACGGTGCACTTTGTAGGGTGAGCTGTCACAGTGACCTGCGCGGACCGGTGACTTGTATGTGTGCAGAACAAAACCTCTGCTGTTAGGATATGGCGTCAAAGCAATGTGAAGTACCTCTCTGAGGGCCGATAAAAGGCCATGTCCACTTCCTGTTTGACGAGCACACAGAGCGACGCTGTTTGTCTCATCTGGTGATGACAGACAGGTCGTTACGTTGTTTGCTGTTAAATCTGATCCTATAACTGATGTTTTCCATTATCCTGGGTGAGCATGACCTAAAGCTCAGATGTACAGACATTTGTAGTCAATGTGACTGTATTTGGGTGCAACACAATAAGCAAGTTTTAATGTTTCCTTTAAATGTATGGTATGGTTTTTCAAAATGTTTACAGATAACAATCTAAACTGTGGCAGAACTGCTTAATCTGGCGCCTAAATAAAATCCAGTGCAACCAACTGTACTTAAAAAAAGCTCATCTAGCTAGTAAAAAGTTCCCACCTGAGTAATTTGATCTCTGTATACAAAAGAGGGATGTTGTAGAACGTTGGAGCGAGAACGGGGGTAGGAGAGAAAGGGAGAAACATCTGGCAAAGGACAACTAAAGACGAAAAAATAAACAAAGAAAACAATCATCATACTGTAGATCAATGTACAGTCTCACTGTCACCCTGGAGGAACTGAAGAGATCCAGCGCTCAGGTGGGAGAATCTGTTAATACAAGTATCAGCTCTCATCTAACCACATCTGGTCTTTATAGAAAAGCATCTATAGATAGTAAGATGAATTTCAGCAAACCTGATAAACCCCAAAAGGTTCCGAGCTCTTATTACAGGCTAAAGATAATCTATGCACTGTACAGAGGATTCAGTACAAATGTATGTCACACTTTTCAGATTTTTCCGCTATGGATCACATTAAATCTCAATTTAAAATGTTGAATTTTCTATTCCTAAAAATGAATAAGTATGGAGAGGTGTTGGGGTGTTGGGGGTGGGAATACTTTTACACTGCACTGTCCAAGTCTGTTATGTTTCTTATTAGCCTGTAGGTAGGGCTGATTGATTTAGCCAAAAATCAAATTGCAATTATTTTCAACCAATGTTGCGATTAAAATTTTATTGTGATAATCCTTTTTACTGAGCCCAAGCATGTTGGTGTTTTACTCTAGGATTTCTTGACCTTGAAAGCCTGCTTGTCCGGAGTCAGACTTTACTGTTAAACTTGCACAAAAAAGCTCTTATTTCTACTATCATGCGTTAATCTAGGTGCTACTGTAGCTGCAACTTTTTTCCCTTATGTGTGTCAACATACCCACTTTAATTGTATCACTGCCACCTAACTGTTTAAGAATTTTGAATAAAAATTGAGTGCCTCCGAGATTTTTTTTTAAATAGCATTTTGCTAAACTTCAAATATATTAAAAAAGCCATTAATTGCACAGCCCTACCTGTAGGTTTGTGGTTGTTTTTTTGCACCACAGTAGCTTAAATATAAATACAGATCTTTATGAACTCTGGCACATTTCTTTGTTTTTGCATTTTACTCGCTGCAAACAAATCTGCTCTATATATGATGACTGCAGGATTTGCATCCAACATTGCTGTAGCTCTGTTCTTTTCTGTTATCTCAGATTCTTCCTCCCAGCAGCTCTTAGACTTTATAACCATCCCTGCTCCCAGCTAACGTAATAAGTTGATGCTTTTGACAAAGGTTTTTTTCATCTCTTGAAAAGACTTTGTTGTTTTTCAAGCACAACTATGTAAACAAGTTTTGTGTGCTTTCCTAATCCCTTTAGACATTTTCACATTTCTTTAATTACGGCCTTAACTTTCAGAGTTTTACAGTACTCAATCAGGCTTCTTTTTACAGCTCTGATTTGATCCGAAGATATAAAACCTGTCATAGTTTAAAGTCACCAAACCAAAACCTGCCGTGGTTTCAAGCTGTCGCACCCAGACTGTGAACATTTCCTACTTTCCTACAAAGTTTGGCTTCTGTAGATGATTTTGAAAAGCAGCTGAAGCCTTTTTTATTCTAAGATACTATCAGTTAGATTTGAGTTTTTTCTGATATAGATATGTGAAAATGTGCTGTATAAACATGTCTCCTGCTTACATCTCAATGAATTTCATTTTGGGAAATTAAATAACTGCACTAGTAGTTTCCTTACGTTGTAATTTTTTTTCCCTTAAAGTAATCTCTCTATCATCACACCTGAACAATATCGTTTTTTCTATTCCTCCATTTTCTTTTCAACACCACTCCTTTGTTTTGGGAGAACCAGCCCAAACAGTGTGTTGTTGTTCTGCTAAATGTAAACATTGTCCAACCTTTTCATTTCTTTTGGTTTTCAGGTAAGAGGGTCAAAGCGGCAGCCATAGAGGCAAAGCAGCAAGGTGTAGCAGGCATGAGTGCAGACAGCCATCAGGGGGTGGTGACCACTCCTCCGCCACCCACCGGGGGGACCAAGGAGCGCTATTTTGACCGGATCAACGTCAACGATCCGGAGTACATCAGAGCCAGAAACATGTCGCCGGATCTCCGGCAGGACTTTAATGTCCTGGAGCAGAAGAAACGCGTCACACAGATACTACAGAGCCCAGTAAGTGCAAACCAGGAACTACTTATAACATATCAAGCGCCTCTGATTCTTAATGGCGCCGCTGCTGAAGTTAATTCATCTTTAATTTAGCTGTGACATAAAGATTTAAAGGTGACTCTTAACCACTAACATCCCATCAACCAGGAATCAGAATAAGAAATACTTTAATAATCAAAGTGCGAAATTACTTTATAAATATGACATATTTAATAGAGTGACTATAGAACTCACTTGATATAACACAGTTTCATACAATTTATATAATTAGTGGGTCCCCGCTCCATCTCACCATCAGTTTGGGGGTCCTTGGCCTGGAAAAAGACCCCTGGCTTAGTGGGTTTACAGAAAGACTGATCTCTGACCATGGCAAAAATGAAAGGTGGATAGGAATCATTTTCATGTGGATTTGGATTCTTGCCTCAGCATCTTATACCATTGATCAGACAGTCTACAGTTTTCCAGGAGATTTTTTTTACTTTTTATGTCCTGGATATTTGTAAGTTTGCTAACATGCAGGAGCAGAAACAGGCCCTCACCATCATTAATCACCCAACCCACTATACAATGCACATGAGCTATCTTTCCAATAAGCCATGTTGTATTTTTAGCTATAACCATTTAGTCATAATGTGGTAAAAAGTTTTATCTTATGATTACCTGACACTGGAGCTGCAACTAACGATTATTTTGCAAATCCATCAGTCTGTCGATTACTATTTTGATTAATCAATTAATAATCGGATAGCAAAAGGTTCCTTAAAGAAGATGTTTACTAAATTGAACCAGGTGAAACTAAACTTTTCCACTTGAGGAGTTCTCGATAGAGCATATGGACGGATGAAAAAAATTTTTTTTTCTTAACTGCAAAATGATCATACTTTTTTTTTTTACAATTTTGATATAATTGCTGCTCTATGTGGGTTGCTCAGTCAGCTAAGAGCATGTTTACAGTCTACACTTCAGTTAACAATTAATCGATGACTAAATTAGTTTATGATTTTTATCAATAATCGATTAATCTGATTGATCTGATTTCAGCACTACGTGACACACAGTTTCAGTTTAAATCAAGAGTTTATTTGCAACATTTACAATGGTGGGAATTAAATGTTTCTTAGAGTCTGGCTTCAGCATGAAGACTGCATCTAAAGATGTCACTCTTATCTACCATTTATTTAACACAGAGCTTTTAGGGCTCCTTTTTTTTTTTTTTTTTACATCTTTTACAATCCTCATATCTCCTCTACCTTGTTTTTTCCTTTTTTCAGGTGCCTTATCTCTTAAGGACTGAAAAATGTTAGAGAAGCATGTAATGGTGATACGTCAGTAGCAACAAAAGTTTGGGAACAGCTGCTTTAGTTGAACAATTCAGTGATGATGCCAGCTGCAATAAATCATCCTATATCTTATTCTTTTACTGCTCATGGTGCCTCCAACATTCATTTTGATCATTAGTATCTTCATCATTATTACTTCCATCAGGTGTTGGAATCTACTCTAGTTATAATCAATCTTAGCAAGGATGTATGAAACCAAGAATATAGTATTAATGGAAAATAGTTGCAAATTGAGCCATCTTTAATGTTTGTTCTAGGTTGGTGTGATGCAGATTGCAGATAGAAATTATGTGTTCTGTCTTTCTGTTGTTAATTGGGTACACAAGCTGCGTCCCTAACGACAGCATACACTATAATAACTAACATCTGCAGCTGTGATGTCATTGAATGATGGACTTGTTGTGGATATGAGAGCTATAGCAACACTGCTTGTGCCCGGCTGCAAGCCCTGATGTGATTTTTATTACTTTTTTATTCCTCTCACAATGACGCTCTAATACACATAGGATGATCCAATTTGTTTGGGTCCCTGTCCCGAGGACCACCAATTTCAGACAATGTCCCCCGTTTGACTCATTCAAGTGATGAAAACTCATAAAGAAATACCTAAAAGATGGTTATAATAAATGTAAAGAAAGTGGAGCTGCAGTCACTGTCACAGCGGCACAAAGGCGGTCCATCCGAATACAAAGGCAGCAACCCACGTCATGACTAACCTGCAAACAATGCTTTTAAAACAGGGCAGGCAGAATAAAGCCTCTGTAATGGTTTCTAACTGAGATAGGTCAGTGGAAGTTGATTCTCAGAGAGCTCACTGAGAAGTTTCCCAGAGTTATTTTTCAATACGGAAGGGAGCCCAATAAGCCGCATTTGATCCTGCATCGTCCCTCTTAAATGTCCTTGTTGTTCTATCTTTGTTTTTTAAGTTCAAAGAGGATTTTACTTTATCTGTTTTCTGTTGTGTTTAGCCCGTACCATGGATAAAGTACACTTTATATTGAAATGTTTTACATTGAATGGCTGAGTCTGACCTGCTTGCTGTGTAATTCCAGATGGGGTCAACTTGACTGGTTCCCTTTGAGAAATTGAGATTTTATTTTACCGCAGTGTCTTTCTTCCTGTCTGACCTTTGACATTACTAGTTAGAGGTCCTAGGAAACATGGACCAAAATATATTAAGTGTTTTTCCTGGATGGGGCCGCCTTTTACAGTTGCTTTTTTTTTTTGTATCTCTGCTTCCGTCTCCTTGAACCCCAGTCAGACTCGTCAGATGGCCGCTCACACTGATCCTGGTTCTGCTGGAGGTTTCTTCCTGTTAAAAGGGAGTTTTTCCTCTCCACTGTCACTACAAGCATGCTTAGTGTGAGGGATTGCATTCGAGTCAATGAGTCGCTGCAATCAACTGGTTTTCCTTAGATGGAAAACTTTGAATCAATTTGACTGGATGATCTGGTTGAACTGTAAAGTGCCTTGAAATGACATGTGCTGTGAATTGGCGCTATATAAATAAACTGAATTAAATTGAATTGAATTGATTTCACCACAAAACAAATGTACTCTAACCTAGATTTTTATTTTTACCTTCAGTGTAATATTGAGCTACTGCAAGAAAAGAAACATTTATTTAGCAGCCCTTTATACCTCCATACCAGGAATGTTATCACAGGGTCATTTAATTTTCCAACTTTGATCAGACTGGGAATTACGGCAAGTTTCCAATAAGTCCTCCTATTAATATTTGGATAGCAGAGGCAGCACGATTACAGCAGAGGAACAACCCCACTTTTCAGGATTAGTTGATCATCACCTACGTTTTTGTTTGCTGGATGAGACTGAGGTCATTGGGTGAAAGGGCTCAGATACCTTCCTTTTTATCAAATAGTGTAGAAAACTATAATAAAGGAAAGCTTTAATTTTATAGAAGCTAATTAAAAGCTGCTTGCCAGCATGTTGGTCCAATGTTGATTTTATGGTGGGGGAGCACGTAAGCTAAGCTTTGAATAATTACTAATGGGATGAAAGTGCTTTGAATGCCACAGATGTTTTATTTGGTGGGGTTTGCATGCCCTGCCCGTATCTCTGTGCTTTAAAATCCTCGGCGGAACCAAATACTTGCCTCAAGGTGTAAACATTTACTGCCAAAATATTTGATTTCCCCCTGTCTGCTGGCTGAAAGCGTTTCAATGCCATCGAAAACTTGAAATAAAAACTAAAGTAGAGAATTCATATATCTCAGTTTGTTCTCCAGACTGCAGAGGGATCGATGAGGCTTTTGGATAGTAAACGGGTTACCCCACCCATTAGTACCTGTTGAAACGTTTCCTGTCTTTCTTTCTCCTAGTCAGTAGTTCTGTCCTAATCAAGACATGTCTCAATAAGTTTTAGCAGCGACTGCATCACTTGCGCCTGTGTGTAACTGCCTGTGTTGATGTTGTGACACGGGCAAAAGGAACCGCAGCAGTCAGTGGTTTTATTGAAACCATAATGCAACCACCAGCCACCACGCCCTGGCTCAGTCTGGCTGCTGAAACTCCCCGAATGCTCTGTGAGGCAGAAGCGCTCATGTCAGGTCATGTTTGCTCTGTATTGATTACTTTTAGGATCACAAATACAGTGTTTTCCCCTCTTGAGATGGGATTATTAGGGCTTACATTCTGCTTTAAATCCAATTTTTGGGGGTAGGGGTACAGAGCAGTGCAGCTGTGAAACCTCAGGCTGTATTTAGAAATTTGCATCCCTTTCCCTTGCTTTTATGAAATTTCTTAATACTTGCATCTCCTCTATGCTATATCTGTGCATTTGTGCCCATAAATCATGACTTATTCCCAGCCACATGTAAAGACAAGAGACCATTATGCTGTTCTGTGTTGCGCCCTTTGAACCGTTGTTCGGAGGTTTTACAACACGCCCACCATCTTTGGATATTTACTCTGTCATGTTGACTCAAGGCTCGTCTCTACCTGATGAGCGCATTGCTCTTAAGAGCTGGATTGAGGTGTTAGGTGTTTGGTGTCTCTGTGTCCGGTTTTAAGGATGTACTTTGAATGGCGTCAGGGACAGATTTATGACGTTTAGGATGGAGTGCGTGTCATAAAAAGCACAAATGGATACAGTGCCTGTATTCAAACCTCATGAACTGGAAAAGAAAAAAAAACTCGTACCACATCTAAAAAGTGATACATGCCTATGGTGTTAATACTGTGTTTCTCCACATTCCGTAAAAAAAAAAAAAAAAAAAAAGATCCACTGGACTTGGTTTTCACGATTTCAAGACGTTTCGCCACCTCTCCAGGAAGCTTTCTCGATTCAAATGTCTGGATTGAGAAAGCTTCCTGGAGAGGTGGCGAAACGTCTTCAAATCTTGGAAACCAAGTCCAGTGGATATTTTTTTGAATTTTTACGGAATGACTATGACCTGGCTGACTGAGAACCTTCATCAGCATGTGTTTCTCCAAAGTTTCTCCCAGACATCACCAGTTTCCTGAATCTTACTTCTGGACTGGGCCGTTGTAACACATGAATATACCCTAATCTAAACCATCTCACTGTAGTTCTGTTCGGATGTTTAGGCTTAATGTCTTGCTTGAAGGAGAACCTCTGAGCCATACCGAGTTTTCTGCTGCCTCTGACAAGTTTGGATCCATCATTGTCCTCTATTTTAGC